GTTGGGCTGAATTCAATTCCAAATTGGCGACGAGACATACCTATTGGTGCCTTCTCGTAGACTCCTCTTGGAATTTGATTCTGAGATTGCTGTAATCCTTTCAGCTTGAGGTGATTGGAACCAACTACTCCAGGAGGGAGATCTTCCTTTCTGTAATCCGACGAGATCGAATGGCGAGAAGGAGGACAAGAAACATGATAAGGAAGATGACTTCCTTTAGATGATGTAGATCTGGGTAGATCTAATGATTTTCTGATATTCAGAAAAACATCACCATCCTGGTCCTGAATAACACAGTCTAAACTATGATGAGCAATTGGCTGTGCCGGAACTGCATTAGAAATTGTCCAATGTTCAGGAAATGTTATTTCACTACAAGGAATCATCCTTTTTGTGGCAATATTTGATGTGAACATATTGGTGTCCCATAACGCTGTTACTCCTTGAGAGTCTTTGCGTATGGCATTTGGACACATAGTATCAAGTACTTTGTAATGGATGCGATAAATAACACTTATCACTTCCGATCCAGGTGAATAATCATACCCATAGGTCTGAACACGAAGACTAACTGCCTCATGGATATTCTTATCTGTTAAAGATAAATTCAGACTAGGATAGACATTAAAATAAACCGGTCCATGACATAGACTGGTTTCCAGTGCACCCATCAAAGAGGGGTGAAATTTCAGACATCGAGCATCCCTAAGGGTTGCTTGAATACAAACATCCATACCTAGCAAGGTTAAAGGTTTAAAAGCAATTTGAATTAAACCTATATGGATGTACTTATATTTGTGCATGTGCCTCTGAAGGTCACGAGAAGACAACAATCTAATTATTGTGTCTTGAGTGCTTATTTAAATTTAATGTAATTTACCTTTCTTATCTTGACGTTATAAAAGTGCGTGAACCTAGCGTAAAAGGATATATTTAAAAATTAATATCTTATTATTATAATAAAAAATATTTAAAACTACACTATTAAAAAGTTAAATTTCAAAAAGAACTATTTTTTTTTTTGGACAAATTACACAAACCACCCTCGAGGTTTTTATATTGTGCATGTAGATAGAAGTTATAATAATATTACAGAAAGATCCATATTGACCGTTTGACCACAAAAAATCAATATAAATTTACACTTTTGACTTTAAAATTAAAGTATTTATTTTTAATGAAAAAAATAAAAGATATTGTATATTGGGAAGTTTCATTTTTGCCCCTGGGTAAACCCCATCGCTTCCCTACCACATCACTTCTCTTTTCTCTCTCTAAACACATCAATCGAATCATGCATTTCCAAGGAGACGAAGAAGTTGGGACGACGCCAAGCCAAGTCAACGAAAAATCATCCATGTTCCCTCCCAGCATTGTTAGTAGGGGTGCACACGGTTCGGTTTCGAACGGTTCCGGTTCTGACCGGAACCGGAACCGTTCACAACAATTCCTTAAAAATGGAACTGGAATCGGAACCGTGAAGGTATGAAACCGAATTAGAACTGACTGTTTGTTGTTTTGTTCCTTTGTTCAGTAGAATCACTAGTGATTTGAAGGCTTTGTTGAGCCCATAGCTAAAGCAATTAAAAAAAAAAACTAATAGTATAAATTCTATAATATTTCAGTCATCCCTTGGTAATAAATAAATGATAGTCTGAAATCTGAAATTCTGAATAACCTTTCAAAATACAAAATGAGAGGATGAATGAGATACTGCTTGAAGAATCAAGATGAGAGGTTGTAAGGCTGTAAGCCGCGATCTGAAGATAAGAGGATGAGAGAAGGCGAGGCGTCGAAGGCGATGAGGATTCGAGGAAGCTTGAGATTCAGCGAGGGCGATGACTGTCGAGGAAGCTTAGCTGCTTGAGATGAGGGGAGGTGAGGGTTTGCTTGAAAGATGAGATGAGACTTTAGGTAAATTAGGTTAGACTTTAGTCTTTAGATGAGTTTTTCACTTTTTTTGTGGCTATATGAGTGACCACGTGGCTGAGACTATGACTAGGTCTATGAGTGACTGAGTTTAGTTACTGAATTTACTTTAGTCTTAATTATATATATATATATATATATATATATATATATATATATATATATATATATATGGTTTCGGTTCTTACCGATTCCCTCGGGCTGAAACTGGAACCGAAACCGTATGTCCACGGTTCCTAAATTCGGAATCGGGACCAGAACCGAAACCGTGAGAATCAGAAAAAATGATTTTGGTCTTCACGGTTCCGGTTCTTTTGTGTACCCCTAATTATTAGTGCAACCTCCTACACCACCACCACCCGCAACATCATTATTAACCACATCTGTTTTTACTTTCCATAAATTAATTGAAATGGGCTCAATCAAATACACATATACTGCATCATCCAAACATACTACAGCATACACAGAGGGAATAGGATAAAAGATATAGAGAGAGAAGATCTAGAAGAAAATCACCCACCCATCGTTGGGAACGTACTGCATCAGGATACCGACGGCGGCATAGTCACCGGGGAAATTTAAGTAAAGCTAATCAATGAGTCATCCCAACGGTGGAAATTCCAAGATGACCTTCAAAACAAAACATTCGCAGATCTGTTTCCTTTCTGATTTTTATTTTAAAGAGTGACTGATGGCTATGATTCGAGATTTTTACGGGTTCGATTGGGTTCTTTGTGGGTTTAATTAGGATTGTTTGTGGGTTTGAGTGGGTGGCAGTGATGGTGGTGGGGTGGCGTTGCAGCAGACAAGCTCTTTGTGGCGATGAGGGGGTTTTGCTATTGGGTCTCACGATTATTGGATTAGATTTGGTGAGATGGGTTAGGGATTTTTGCTTGTTGCAGATGCTGAAGGGGCGGTTTTGCTTTTTACGACAGTGGTGGTGGTTGTGGCGTCGAGGTTGTGATGGTGAGTGGAGAAAGAAAGAAAGAATGGGTGGGCGGTGGGTGGTGGCAGCGGCGGCAGGTGGTGGTGCGATTGTTGTTGAATGGTGGGTTTGAGTTGTCATAGATTAAGGGCGGATGGCAGAAACGGGGCGATTGGGGAACTACGGTAGTGCACAGCGAGATGGATCCGGCTTTAGCGACGGCAGCTTGTGCACACTGAGGTGGATATGGGCTGGCTGTGAACGCGAAGGGCTGGTTGTGGCTTCGACTGTGAGCTCGAGGATGATGGAAGCGAGCTCGGCTTTAATGGAGGCAGGGGCGAGCTCGGCTTTGATGGGCTCGGCCATGGAGGATGTCGGCTGTGAAGGAGGCGGCGATGAGCTCGGATGGGATGAGCTTAGCTGTAACGGATGTCGGCTGTGATGGAGGCGACGGTGAGCTTGGATGCGGTGAGCGAGGTTGAGCTCGGATGGTGAAAAGCTGTGTGGTGATGGCGGTGACGGGCCAATGAGTTTGGAACAGAGGAGTCTTAGGGGCAAAACCATAACTTTAACAATACACAAAAAGATTTTTTCATTAAACAAATAGTTTAACTCCAAGGACAAAAATGTAAATTCATATCAATCCGCTAACCACAGGCCTTTATGTTATATTATGACCATTTTCTATCTACATGTATAAGTTGAAAACTTGAGAGGTCCTTTGTGCAATTTGCCTTTATTTATTTATTTTTTTTGGGTTGAACTGAGGAAAATGTTACTTTCCTTCCCTTGTTTCTTACAAAAACTAAGTGTTGGAAAATTATTGGCGGACCCGCCAAAAAAATGTTCTCAAGTATTATCATTGAGACCTTTTTTGTTTTTCAATTTTTTTGCTTTTGTGTTGAGGAAAAAGGTTAAACAAGTGAATATGGCATTACTTTCTTCACTTCACTAACTTTAACAGTATTCGTTCTGTAAAGCAGAATCATTTATGGTACATACGTATGACCACACTGGATAGTGACATTCTTGTACATATACTGTATATAATATATATACATATATATATAGACATACATACATACATACATACAAACTGATATACGTTTACGTCAATGTTTACATATTGTAGAGGAGGGAATCGAGAGAAAGCTATATAACTTGAAAAAAAATAATAATAATAAAAAAGAAAAAGAAAATGTTCTTGATTTTTAACTTTTAAAACTGTCATTACACACACCCACATATGATATATCCATTGATGCATTGCAATATAGCATGCGACTTTAAGAGCTTACATAAGTATCTCACGGTAACTCTAACCAATATTTGGTACATCTCTGAATATAATGCAATGTTCTAGGAGTTTCAATTCCTTGAGATCACCTCACTGTCTACACAGCATCTCTAATTGAATTTCACCAGTGATATTGTTTCAAAAATAGTATGACCCATCATGGTGTTATAAGTGTGATTAAAATGATAGTTACACGTATTCAAAGTCAAAGAACGAGAGTTATAGCTAGCAAGTAAAATTTTATATGAATCACATTTCAACAAACTCGCTGTTGAATTACAGGCTCCTTTTCATGTTTATCATGTCTGCCATTGGAAGTGTGGCTACTTGATTCCTACTATTACACTCCGTAACTTTAAGAACTATATGCCTGGGCTATCTTAAAATCTCAGATCAAGAAGAAAATCACGACGAAAATTAAGAGAGTGAAATGAATGCATAATCTCTGGCGGCTTGTGGAAGTGAATATCGTACAAAACTGTTATGGAAGAACAAGAAGTTCTGTACTGGGTATATTTTGATCAGTTGGTGTTATGTTTACCAGACAAGAACTCTCCATAGAGGACTGTTCTTTCTATCAACCAATCATGTAGTTCTATATGGATCATCCATGAAGAGCTGAATTCATCGGCAAGGAGGCTGCAACAATGATACAAAACTGACCGAACTGGACCGGAGCTGAACTCACTGTGATCAACTACTGCACCACTCAATTATGGTTAATCTCAGATAAATGATTTGGGACTGCCTTCTGGTTCGTGTGCTTTACATTACTATTACCACAACTAAATCAAGTTTTTACTCTCTCAACCAGAAAAAAAAAAAAAAAAAAAAGTTACTTCAAAGTTACAAACCAAGCAACTACATTCATAGGTCAATGCTTTCAAAAGTTACAAACCAAGCAACTACATTCATAGGTCAATGCTTTCAAAATAAAACAAACATACATTGCTACCTCCATAAATTAATGTCAATGTCTAAATCATGTTTATTTGGAATTTCTCTTACCAGAAAAACTGTTCAAGCACATTTGGTTAATACAAATATCCCAAGAAACAAGCAGATGGGGCGAGGTATATTTATTGCTTCTTCTCTTCTGCTTTCCTTGGCTGAGAAAGAAGGATAAAAAAAACAGTATTAGATATTAACTACTACAGCTCTAATGGGCTATCTCAGCAGACTTCAACATATATATGTGTGCGTGTGTGAACTTTTTTGCAGCATAAAATGCATTTTGCACATACAAAAGGTTCTACAAGTGGATGCGTGATCTGAATTGATAGATGCTGATTGTAGAGCTTAGCATGATCAACCCAATAGTTCTTTTAAGTAATTTTTTGAGCAAACTGAGAACATAAAGAAGAGAAACAGAAGCTGCTATTACTTTCGGCTTTTGAGGTAGTGTTTGCATGGGACACCATTTCTAGTATAATTTATGCAGTAATAAGTTCAAACCCAAATTATTTCCCTTTTGTAGACCCGAGCCCAAAGAAGGAAAAGAACGGACTAAAGCAAGGCAGTAGAATCTCTTCCTGCAGTCGCATCAGCTCAGTGTCTCACATGGAATTATTCACCTCTTATACCATAAACCGGATCTAGGCTAGGATCCTACTTCCTTCATTATTCATAAACACACTCTCTCTCTCTCTCTACACACACACACACACACACGTATAAACACAGAGAAACAGAAGCTGGTATTACTTTCGTTTAGCCCACTCATTTGGAAACCATTTTTCGCCGTTTGGAGACCTCCAACTAGCTTTTTATTTTTTGAGCTTCAAAAGTGCTATTTTAAGAATATCACTAATACAATTTGTAATGATAGACATTGCGACACCCGTCGTAAGTATATTGTATCTCTACATGCTGTTATGGTGATATTTTATTACGTCCAGATCCTTAGTTTTTTCTTTATGTATTTTTTATTTATTTCGTGGTAGTATCCCAAATTTTCACATAATGTATCGCCACATTGACTGCGTCTTACTTTGATTGATACATATCTCAGTCACAAGTCAGTCCTATCTCTGGCATTGCTTGACTGAAAAAAGTTAAGGCACACAAGCATATGAATTTTGAGAGAAAAAAAAAATTCAGGGCGGCCACCGAGTTGTTTTCCAAAACAGCCAATCTAACTGCCTCTCTATTCTGTCTAAAAAGACTAACCATGCAATTGCATGCATCTAACATAAATAATAGCGTTCAAATCCAAGAACATTTGAGCCACTCTTCAACACATCTTCCACTTCCAAGTTTAAATAAATCAACTGCACAAGTTATCTGACCTAGGCCCATGACAACAATAGAGTTAGTGAGGTACACTTATTGCTTTGCAAAGCTCAGATTGTCAAGTGTGAGAATGCAAGTTCAAGTATAAAGCAGGCATTTGTATCTAATAATGCATGCTAGGTGTCTACCCGCTTTTCCTAGCATCCTTGTCCTAACAATTGGGCAATTGGCAATGGTCTTTATTTATTATCAAACATCCACTCAAAACAACATAAACTGCATAAACAATATAATAAACAAATTTATATTTATTATTCTATTGATAACATAATTGCATAAGCTGTTCATTCAATACTTAACAATAAAGATGCTAAAATGCACACCTATTTTTGCTCTATCCTATGTAATAATGAGAATTGTGTTTCGTATTCTTAGATGAGTACTTTGATCAATTATAGGAAATGGTCTCGTTACTTAGCATGTTTACAAATTTTAACTAGCATAATTGCATAAGCTGTTTGTTCTATAATACATAATAAAGATGCTTAAATTTGCACCTTTTTGGTCACATTGGACACTTTACATAAACATACTGTTGTAGGATAGTATCAACCAATTATACATGTATACTTGTATTGCATCAATTTGTAGGAGATGACATTGTTGAACACAGAAGTGGAACTCATCTTTATGTCCCTGTTACACTCATGATCCTTCACAATCAATAACGAAGTTCATTTCTAGAGCCACATATGCAAGTTATCACAGCCTATTTTATTTTATTTTATATATATATATTGAAAAAGACTTAAATGACAGAACATCAAGTAGCTATGTCACTTATATTATGACATTATGCAACCATATTTGATATTCTAATTTTTTAAAGGGACAAGCATTTAAAATTACCAAACTACCCATTTAAAGAAAGTGTTAGTTGTAATAAGTTTTCACAATGTTGGGGATATTTTGGTAAGTAAATTATCTTTTTACCTTGACTATTCAATTGGGACAAGAATTTTGAGATAGCCAAAAATGAAAAGAGGGAAAAGAATTTTGGGACGGTAGGACTAACGGAGAAATCATAATTTAATTCCCATTGTATAAATATGTTGGTTAACTTAAAAGAGATAAAAGTAGGTGGTGCAGTTTCTGAAATCTGATCATGTTTTTGAGCTAGGAACAATTTATTAATGTCAAAACTTAGACCAAATTCCACATACTGTCATTAACAACATTCGGGGAATCTTACACACTCTGAAATCTTAAAAGTCAAGGCTTAATTTTAAACTTAATACTTGAATGGTTATAATTGAAGTTTAAATATCAGCAATTTGGCCGCACAAAAACAAGAACTTGGTTGCTAGTCTCCAACATACCAAATAATCAACACCCCAAAACTGGTGAAACCATGAAAGAGTTCTCACCCAAAGGCCAAAACCAGTCTTGAACTTGGGTGAGCTATACAATCACCAACAAAATTCACCATTTAACCAAGTAGCCTCCTTAACCATCACTAACAAGCACGCATAAAGAGAAAAATAAAAACTATAGACAAAGGTAACTTTCATCAGTACATGAATTGAAACAGAATAACATTCATGCACTGTTTGACTAAATAAATCATAGAATGACACAAAAGAAAGCAAATTTAAGGACTCATCAATTGGTGACCAGATCAAAGAATCAAATTACCACAATAATATGTATTCACAAGGAAACCACTCAAACTCATTCACCAAATAATCAAATCCACACCAACTATTCGACGAAATGCCACAATTAAATTACAACGAACAACACGCAAAAACAGAAAACCCATAAATAATTAGAGTGAGGGAAACAATTACCTTGGTACCAGGGGCTGGTTGGTGGAGCTCTTCGTCGGGAATGATGACAGGCCATTTCTCGCCGGCGTCACGGAACATCTGCTCGGTCTCGAGATACTGACCCTTCTCGAGAATCATGTTCCTGATGGTCTGTGCCGGGGTGGTGGTGGCGTCGAAGGCCTCCTCGACGCCGTTGACGAAGGTGACTGTAATCTGCGGCGGCTGCTCGTCAGTCCGGCGTTTGACGAGCACCTGACAGCCAGGGTTGGACTCCTTGGCCTTGCGGGCATTGCACTGTGCCAAGAACTCCATGCACGCGGCCGTGCGTGGGTCAAGCGCGTTGAACTCTATCCTCACCTTTGACAAGAACTTCAGCATCTTCCCTGATTCTCTCTCCCTCGTCTTGGCCTTGCGGGCATTCCACAGTTGTTTTAAGTGACCACAAATACCTAACGAGTAAAATATATTGATATAAAAATGAAAGGGATGTGATAGTTGGAAATTAAGCACGGTACTTGTTTGGGCTATGCAAAAGGGCGGATTCAGGAAGGAATTGTTAATTCGGGCTAGTATTTATTTGGGTAAGCTAACAATAGTTTTTTTTTAGTTGGGCTAAAATTGTTTTTATTTATTTATTTTTATTTTTTATTTTTAGACTCAAGTGCAAAAAGCAGTGCTTATGTGTAAAAAATATCCATAAAGTTTTAATTTGGTACAAATAGGTCCATCTGACAAATTTTAATCCTAAGTTGATTAAATTACCCTTACTGAACAATTTTATAAAATATATAAAAATAAATAGTTTTATAAAACGACCGAAAAAAGACACTATTGGAGGATGCTCCTCACGTGCAAAAAAAAACCTCTAAAATTTCAATTTTGTGCAATTAGGTCCCTCTGACAAATTTAAACCCTAAGTTAACTAAATTACTTTTAGTAAACCATTTTATAAAATTATTTATACAATATATAAAAATAAATAATTTTATAAAATGACCGAAAATAACACACTTGGAGGACACCAGTAACGGACAAGTAAAGATAAAAATATAAAATAAAAATAAAAGTATAAAAGAAAAGTAAAGATAAAAATAGAAAAAAAAAATGAAAATAAAGTGCAAACTTAAGAAAACAAATCAGCTCCAAAATCTGTAAACCAATGCATACTGATATTCAGATTTTTTTTTTAAAAAATTTTGTTTACCAGTGTTGGTACGAAAAATAATAATAATAATAAAAAAAAAACAAATTTTTAATAATAAAGAAAAACAAATTTTAGTAAAAAAGAGTAAACTGAAATCTAAAAAAATTCAAATCATTGTTCTACAAATTCTCAAAGTTAAAAAAAAAAAAAATGTTTAGAGATATATATAGAGAAAAAAGTTTCAAATATATATATATATATATATATATATATATATATAATATGCACAACCACTATATTATGAAATTAGTAGCATATATACCTCCTTGAACATTTTTGATAAAGTAAAAGGGCAAAACGGATATTACAATACTAATTTATGTCAGAATGGTTATTTTTGCTTAATATGAAAAGATTAGGGATATTTTTTTTTACACGCTTTTTCAAATAGGGATAAAAATACTATACGAAATATACTTTGCGCTTGTTCTATATATAATATATACATTTCAAAAATCTAGATATATCAACATGACGTATTGTAATTTGGTAGTACAAAATATAAAATTTATAAATTTAAATGATGATTGCATGTCTGGTTATATATACAGTTAACAAATTTTTATACTCCCTTGAAAAATAAGTTGAGCGTTATATTGAGGGGATCACTTTTGGACTAAATTACACACACACACACACAATCTGTTGAAAATGTTGCATTTTAATATTCAGTAGTTGGTAAATATTATTATGATTTTTTCAAAAGTGTCAGATACGAAATTAGAGTACCAGATATGTTATAAATAAAAGTAAATGCTTTTAGAATTATAAATACGTTTAAGAAGTATCAAACATATATATCCATAGTCAAGAGTTGAATATCAATTTGTTTTAGGGGCATCCTATTAAAGATGATAAATTATACTTTTTTTTTCAAGTTACAAGATAATAAGTCCAAAAATAGAACTGTAATGATTGTTGACTAATATTTAATAATTTAAATAACAATTATTTAAAAAAATTAGTAATATAAAATACCGACCTTAAGAGTCCTTTGAGCAACGAATTTATTTTGCAAATTGTGAAGAAAAAAAAATAGTTTGAATAAAGGAATGCATTTTTTCTTTTTTTGAAGAGAATGTAAAAATTTAGAAGAAGAATGAAAAGAAAGGAAAATGTAAAGGGATTTTTAGAAAATAATTATTTTAGTGGGCATTTTTGTAAAATTTTATAAATTGTAGTCCTATGTGTAGTAAAAATTAACGGCACAGGGTTAAAAAATTATTTGAGGGGGCATTTTTCACTTTTTTTTATATTAAATATTGGCCTATGTGTAATAAAAAGTAATGGCCAGGGTAGAGAGTTTTCTAGAAATAATAATAATAATAATAATAATAAATTTAGGAGTACTGAGTGTTTTCCCTCGTACTTGTCTAAAATTCTATAAATCTTCCGAAATCAAAAGTGATTTTAATCACGCTTTTACCACTATATACAAAATCTTTGAAAGATTTCTGATGGACCATGTAATATTTTCCACCCTACTGTTTTTTAATTATAAATGTAATATTCTACTTACCATCTATAAATGTAGCATTAATTCTTCTTACCATCTTTGAAAGATATCAGGTGAGCCACAACAGTCTCTATAGCGCCCCACTCTTTTATTTTTTTATTTTTTAAAAATAAAATTACAAAAAAATCCTTCCATCCTATTATATTTGTTTTTTTATCTTTTCAATACCTTAAGATTACTTAACTCTTTGAATCGAATTCCTTCATTGTACAGAAAAAAGCTAGGAAGAAAAACTTTGTGCACGAATGATTCAAACGCAAAAATCTATATGTTTGTTTAATTACACTACAAACCTAATCGCATGGCAGAGAATTACTATAGAAATCTTTCAATATGATAGTTTACATAAACAAAATCTTGTGAAGAGATTAGCAACAAAAGCTTCCATTTCGGTTACAGAGTTTGAATTTGTCTTGGATTGCTTTTGTAGTTGTTTTAAGTTGAATCACTTTCTATAATATTTTTAGTAATTTGTTCTTGGTTGGAATTGAAGTTGGTCCGATTCAATTCATATGGAGATAGTAATATAGTTTATGAGGGTGTTCTAAATCATGAAATGTGCATGAATTCAAAGAAGATCAAACACGTGAAGTGTTTTCAGATAAAATAATATTGATGAATTTAAGGGGAGTTTAAAGAAGATCAAATACAAGGATGTGTGGGTTAAAGAGAATAATAAGTAAATTTTAGCAGAATCCTATCTTATCAAATAAGGGTAATTATGACATAAAAAATATAAAAATTAATTATTGTGTAATATAAAGACATTTGGGTAATTTTATTTTAAAATAAGAAAAAAAAAAAAAAAAAAATGGAGCGTCAAGGTATATCGGTGGAGCTCCCATATCAGCTTATAAATGTAATATTAATTCTTCTTACCATTTTTGAAAAATATTGGGTGGACCTTGCGATGACTGATGAGTGTGTACGTTATATATATATATAATTTTCATCAATATTTTTGTAAATGTAATATTCTACTTACCTTTATAGCACACACACTCTTTTGGCTTGTATACTCACCAACCCCAAATTGTCCCGACGTCTATAAATAAGCCTCTATCTGACATACAAACTACAAAAAAAAAAAAAACCATGGCTGATATTATCCGTTTCTCTCTAACTATCTCCATCCTCCTCATTCTAATATCAGGTAAATTTTATTCCTTTCATTTGTTTTCCATATATATGATTAATATAAGCATTAACAATTATAGTAAGTGGTGACAAAATGACATATGCAATTATTTTACATAATACTACTTGCATTTTTGTTGATCATAATCATACGATGGTTAATATTATTTCCTGAAGAATGGTGACACACACACATATACATATATGTGTATTTATATATGAATGCAGTTACCACATCAACGAGCGTGGTGGAAAAAATGGGATTTGCAGGGTCTGAAGCGGTGAAGACGGATTGCACCGCCAAGACATTGACTTCGGACATATGCGTTCGACCCGGACTAACAATACCACAAAGGCTCAAGTTATGTGCGGATGAGTGTCGCAAATTCAATGCCAAATCAGGATGTTTGCGCGATGGTTTCACCATACATTGTTTCTGCTTCTGCGATTAATGTGCTCTGAACTTAACTTATGTCCGTTTGGGATTATTGTTGAAATAAAAAATATATATAATATCTTTTGCTAATTTATTTTGTCATAATATTTTTTTTAAACTAATTTTACATAATATCTTTAAATAAGATGTTTCATATTTGATAACAATAACTTTATTAAGTATAAAGTATAAAAAATGATATAATTGACATTTTGAAATAGTTGTAAAATTTTCAAATTTTAACTTTATTCAAACGATGAGTAAATTTGGTAATTATTAAAAGCTATTTTAATGATTACCATACACCTCTAAAAACAATTTTTAAAAATAAATGTGTTTTTGAACAATAGAGAAACAATTAAAGGAATAATAAGAATAATGGATTTAAAAAATTTGTAGACACGAAAACCGAAAATGATTGTAATTCCATACAGATATATTGACACAACATATTCTTGCCAAAAAAAAAAATTCTGAATATTTTTATATGTTTAATGTTAGGGAAAATTGCATAAAAACCCCTCTAGTTCAAATTTTTGGCAGAAAACCAATACAAAAAATAATTGCCATAAAACCCTCGAATTTTGAGTGTTGCAATACTACCCCTAAGTCAAAAAAATCATTTTCTGGGACGAAATTGCCCAGCATCACTTTGAGTAAGGTTAACGTATGTAGACTACCATTTGGAATAGGAAAACCCTATTGTAAAATGTGTGATATTGTGCGTGGGTTTGCTTGTGTAAATGCTTCATACACACGGATACGGAAAATGAATGTAAATTTTCTATTAATTTAAATGATATTTGTCCGTCATATTTAATTTTTATATAAAAAACTGAGAGTTATATTTAATGAAAAAAAAAATTGGACTCAATTTGCCAATATATTCATCAATACTTCTTATTTGAACAAATTCTGGAATTTTCTTACCAACAGTATAACATATACTTGCAAATGTTTTAAAATGTAAAAGATTTTTAAATATGTGACATGAAGTTTTTAAAAAGTGCTGAATATGAGATCAAAGCATCCAATGCGTTGGAAATATATATATATATATATATATATATATATATATATATATATATAGTTAAAAGGGTAATGTGCGCCAAAAAAACAAAACACCAAACCTATAAAAAAGCAAGAGTTCGGCGTAT